AAGCAATAAACACTATTGTATCGAAATACCAAGAAACTGGCTGGCGACAAGACCTAACGGCAATTTGAACAAGGGAACGTTCCCGAAGGAATGTTCGTTAGACTGTAATTGTTTAAATTCATTAGAAAGCGAATGCTGAATCGTTCCGAACAAATATGCATATAAATTCAACAAATGTATAGTTTGCCACGGCATTGCAATTACCGCAAGCGCATCGTCTGCTGTTAAACCACGATAATTAATAATCTTCGTTGCAAATCGAAAAAACGAATAATTTTGATCTTTGTTAGGGTAAAATTATACGGATGACGGCCTCATCCTCGAAAGACTATATGTTTCATCCTATATTTCATGCTATAAGTTTCAATCTGATTAAGAGTTGCAATTTTACCGTAATACAATAATTATAAATTCAAATAGAAATACTGCGTAGTTTCCGAAATCGTTGAAGCGATCGTGGCGACGAAATAGAAAAGAGAAAGGAACACCAAGGAAAGGGATGAAAGATTTTCGTCTAGCTCACGCGTCTTAGCCAATCACCGGGCATGCGACGCTGCCGAAAACGTATCGCGATCCGTCAAACCGTCCCCTCCAAGGACAATGATCGCGCGACGGGCCCTTCGACCATCGATCGCGCACGAAATTTGTCACCCTTGATCGATCAATCGTAAGTACGTGATCGGGAGCCCGTGTGTCCGAGAGACAGAGTTATTTGAAAGTTCGCGATATTTTCTCTGCGGTAAAGTCCTCCGCGTAGCGAGGCAGAGCGCCGTGCGGATTAAAATAATCGGAATTCTGAATAAGGACTCATAGACGCGCACGTAAAATTACCTTCTACCTTATTTACTATCTTTTCTTTCTTTTCTCTTAAATCGTTGCTCGCGTAGATATCGTATTAAATTCATTTCGCGTAATTATAATTATTTAATCTCGTAATTCGTTTGTGTCTGTCTCTCGTCGACGTCCTCGTCCGATAATTCGTTTCGCCGCGACAAGTACGTGATCGGAAATCTTATCGTTCTTTGGTGTTCCAGATCATCAAGCGAACTCACATCGAATTTAGCAAGCGAATATATTATATTGTATTGTATAAAACAACGAATCGGTAAGTCGATCTTATTACATTTCCAAAACACGACGGTTTCATCTGGCAAAACGGGCGATCTGGTCTAGCCTTCCGGGGTTACGAAAGTATCTCAGGTCAGATCGTTCCATCAACCGAGGTATCGACATATTATAATCATCTGTGGTAATCACATAATCACTGACGTTTCAAAATCATTTTTGTCGTTTCAAAAGGGGCACCTTAGTCCAGCCCTCAGGGGTTACGAGAGTACCTCAGGCTGAGATGTACCCTCGCGGTTGAGAACCGCCAATTTCTCTCGCTAAATCAAGTTTCGAATAAAAAAAAAGAAAAGGAAACGAAACGGTTTAACACGCACACACGACCGGTAATAATCGTACACGTTTCATCTGTGACTTCAAAGTGTTAAATAATTTATTTTGTAGTAAGCATCTTTACCCCTATTATCACATTGTAAGGTATGCGAGGCCACGAAACCGCGGGCCCCTGCCAGCGCGAGCTAGTACCGGCGCCGCCGACAGGTGGCGACCGCGCGCACCGCGAACTCGCGAGACAGCCGGCCTCGCGAGCATTAATATACCGGGCCGCGAGGTGATAGAAGGCAGATCGATCCGCCGAAGCGAGTCTCACGACAAGCCACGGTACGATACGATCAACTTCATTTTTGGTAACGAAACCCAAGCTCTCCTTCAGCAGCGTTCGGTAGGACGGGTTGTGTCTACGGCCGTCCTCCGATACAGTCCGCTGTCTCCTTGGCCACGGCCGAGAGAGTTCCCTCTCTCGGCGGCTTCCCGACCGCCGGACCGAGCGTATACGTCTCTACGGCGTCCACCGGATCACGGTCTTCTCACTGCCTGGATGCAGGACGGGTTGTGTCTACGGCCGTCCACCCATGAAGGCATCGAACACCTTACCCCGCACATCCCGCTACCTCCGCCGCTCCGAACCGTAGAAACCGCACCGTAACCGTGCCGTGCCGTAACCGTCTCGCGACCGCCGATAACATTACCGTTAGCTTTAAGTACCGCGCCGTAACCATAGACATAAGGAACCGTAGATATAAGTACCGCGTCGCCGTAGCCGTTAAGCCATTTAAATTGGTAGGACCCCAGGGCCGTAGTCTTAAATTAGGTTGTTCTTTAGTTAAGGAAATATAATTATTATTTTACCCACTAACCACCGACTTTTATTCATTCGTTCGCCTGAACCCCGGACTTACCGACTGAGCCGTCAAACCCCAGGCGGTAACCCGTCACAGTATTACCAATTTTAAACGCGTTCGCCGTAACAGAAGTAATGTATGGAAATATTTTAAGAAAATTGATCAAACACGAAGTATGTGTTTAATCTGTGATAGTACATTTAAAACGAAATGTGGGAGTAGTACGTCTCTTATGAGACATATAAAACAGAAACACCTAGACGTATTTGAATCCGAGTATACATCTCCAGAAACGACACCAAGAGAAATGTCTGAAGAAAATAGTTTTGCGAAAGCCATATTAGATAAAAATTTGCGGAGAGCGCAACCATTAACAAATGCTATTGCAAAAATGATAATATTGGATTTTCAACCGTACAGCATTGTCGACTATGAAGGCTTTAAAAATTTTGTAAAAATTGCTGAACCTCTATACGAGATACCATCCTGAACAACGTTCTCTCGAAATATCGTACCGCAAATGTACCTAAACGAAAAACAGAATATAAAGGGAATCATTTTAAACGACTTAAAATGGGTATGATTTTATCATTTTACATTTAATTATCTTTTTATGTTGCTTTCAAGTGAAGTGGCTTTGTTTCGTGCGGATGGATGATTGTGGTGCTGAAAGCCTTTATCGAAAGGACTGACGATCGAGGAGAGCCGTTTGGAATCGGTTGAAATGAAGAACTCGTATTATGACGATTATTGTATATAATTCACAAATGTAACAAACACAATTACGAAATACAGAACGGAAACCTTAGAACTTAGCACAAAGAACTGAACTTGTAACGAACTTGAATACTTGGTAACGAACGACCGTTGGGTTGGTGTGAGTTTGAATAAGAGCGTTGGTGTTAATCGGTTGACTGGTTAAATTATTCTGATTACCGCGAGCGCTTCGTTAGTGCGAGCGGGCGGTGGTTGATTTATTTGGCGCAAGAGCGCGTGGTTGTCACGCGTTAGTATGACGCGGTTTGAACGGAACACACTCCCCCCCCAATGTTGAATGAATCCATTCATTCACGTAGTAATGCGTAGTTGTAATGTAGTGATTACGAAGATAATTTTACATGGATATAATGGCGAACGCTGGTAAGTACAATTATCGGAACTTATTCTAATTACAAATTACTTAAATCTAACTTAATCTAATCTTATAGTATGTGGTTATGCGATCAAGCTTAACTTATGCAATTTGGAGGCTAACTACGCAGTTCGTCTTCGGTGATCGCAACGGGAAGAAAACATATTTTTGAGAGAGGACGTTTATATTGCGATTGTGAGGTTTTAATTGTCATCACTCGAGTTAATCCGTCGTCTCCCGGATGGCATTCTACGATCCGTCCCCGTTCCCAGTTACTGGGAGGTAAATTCGGGTTACGGATTAGTACAAGCTGGCCTACCTTGGCGAGGTTTTGTATTGTTCGCCATTTTGGGCGTTGGTGAAGTGTATGAAGGTAATCATTTTGCCATGCTTTCCAAAAAGTTTCGGTTAATTTTTGAAGTAATTGCCAACGAGATAATCGGTTTTCTTTAATTTCTATTACGCTTGGTTCCGGACTAGCGACGAGAGGAGTGCCAATTAGAAAATGACCTGGTGTTAGAGCGGAAAAATCATCCAGACAGTCCGACACTGCTCCTAGTGGTCTCGAATTGAGACATGCTTCGACACGACACAGAACGGTTGTTAATTCCTCAAAGGTAAGTGTGTGAGATCCTATCACGCGTTTAAGATGGTTTTTTATGCTTTTTACGGCTGCTTCCCATAACCCTCCGAAGTGAGGTGCATTTGGAGGCAGGAATTGCCATGCGACACCGGTGGAGACTAATGAGTTTCTTAAGTTGGGATCTTTTGTTGCAGAGCGAAACGCAGAATCGAGTTCGCGATTCGCGCCTTGGAATGTTGTACCGTTGTCCGAATAGAGTTTTGATGGAAGACCACGCCGGGACACAAATCTGTGGTAGGCTGCTATGAACGCGGCTGAACTGTAATTGCTTACTACTTCGATGTGAATTGCTTTTGTTGTTAGGCAAACGAATACGGCAATGTATGCCTTGGTAGATTTGTGCCCTCGGCCAGGCGCGGTTCGGACGAGAATCGGACCTGCATAGTCGACGCCGGTATGAATGAACGGACGCTCTACCCTTGTAACGCGAGGCTCGGGCAAGTCTCCCATGAGCTCGTGGGGTATGGCGGCCCTTTCACGTGCGCACTCCACGCATTTGTAGAGGACTGCTCGAATGGTCGTTCTCGCTCTGAGGATCCAATATTCACCTCGGAGATGAGCGAGAAGGAGTTGAGGACCGGCATGAAGTAGGCTTCGGTGAGTATTGTTAATAATGAGTGTTAGTAGTGGATGTGATTTTAGGATGATTGGTTTTTTCGCCTTTTCAGGAAGGTGCGAATTCACGAGTCGCCCCTTTGCTCGGATTAACCCATCTGGATCGAGGTATGGGTTCAGTGAGATTAGAGGACTCGATTTTGGGACTTGTTTCAATTCCCGGAGACGCGATAGTTCGGCTGGGAACGCATCGCCCTGGATCCTTCTTAGCCAAAACAGTTTTGAGTGATGGATCTCGTCAGGGGTCAGCACTATGGACGTGAGATTGCTCGGTAAGTTTCGTTTGGTTGATTTATTTTTCGAATTCAATTGGGTTCGAATGTTTTGGACGAAGCGGTTTAAATACGCGGTTATGCTGAGTAGTTTAGGCCGAATAGCGAGTCTCCAATTCCCACGGGTTCGTGCTGATTGTCAAGCTCTGAATATCGTGCACTTTTTCCTCGAGCGAGGTTTCATCTATTACTCGTGATTCTAAAATTGGCCAAGATTCGGAATTTTCCCGTAGCCATTCGGGACCCGACCACCATAATGGATGTGATCCCAGCTGGGTAATGGAGATTCCGCGCGACGCACAGTCAGCTGGATTGTCCTCAGTTGGAACGTGATGCCAATGTGCATTTGGAACGATGCTTTGAATTTTTGCAACCCGATTTGCTACAAAGGTTTTCCATCGTGATGGTGACCGGTTTACCCATGTTAGTGTTATACTGGAATCCGTCCAGCAGTGACATTCTATCTCGATTTTTAATGCCGTTTGAACAAACTTCAATAATCGTGCTAGAAGAAGTGCTGCACATAGCTCTAAGCGAGGAACGCTGACTGTTTTCACCGGGGCCACGCGGGATTTTGCCATGACAAGACGGACGCACACTGTGCCGTCCTGTAGTACACTGCGGATATAGACAGCAGCAGCGTACGCTGCTGCTGAGGCGTCGGAAAAGCCATGAAGGCTTTGGCTTGTTGGAATATTTGTGGATAATTTGCGAGGTATTGATAATTTGTTTAATTCCACTACCTCGTGGCAGAAGGATTGCCATTCGGTTTGGAATTCGAATGGTACATCGTCGTCCCAATCAGCTTTTAATGACCACAGCCGCTGAATTAGGATTTTGCCTGAAATCACGAACGGAGTGATCCATCCCATTGGATCAAATAATTTGGATACCGACGAAAGGATTATCCGTTTGGTTATGCAGCTGTCCTTGAAGGACTCTGTTTCAACTTGAAATTGGAATTGATCAAGCGCGGGGTTCCATATTAAACCCAGTACTGAAGTGGATTCGTCAATTTTGAGAGTTTTACTCAAGGCAAGGCCGTGATCAGAAGGATCGATATCACAGAGGAGTTCGGAATTGTTACTTGCCCATTTCCTGAGCGAGAAGCCACCCTGAGACAATAGGGCGACCGTTTGGTTTCGAATTTGAAGAAGCGACTCTACACTATTACTTCCAAAAAGGAAGTCATCGACGTACGCTTGTTCGTTTACAACTTGAATCGCGTCAGGGTATTTTGAACCCTCATCGTCTACCAATTGTTTGAGGACTCGAAGGGCTAAATAAGGAGCCGGGGTGGTCCCGAAAGTTACTGTAAGGGGCTGATACTCTTCGATTTGGTGATCAGAAGAGTCACGCCAGAGAATGCGTTGGAAATCTACATCTTGTTCGTTGACGCGAATTTGCCGGTACATTTTGGCGATGTCAGCAGAATAAACAAATTCAAATTGACGCCATCGGAGCAAAATTGATACGAGGTCTTGTTGTAACTTAGGGCCACTATGTAAGTGGTCATTTAGAGATTGGCCATTGGACGTTCGACGTGAGGCATTGAATACGACGCGAAGACGAGTTGTCTGACTGGTTTGGCGAAATACTGCATGGTGAGGTATATAGTATACCTGGTTTCTGGACGAAAGAGGCGAAATTACCCTTTTCATGTGGCCGAGAAATTGATATTCCGATAGGAACGCACGATATTCGGTTTGGAGATGTTTGTTTTGTTGAAAACGGTTTTCTAAAGCGCGAAGATTCTTTAGCGCTGCGGTCCGGGATTCCCCTAATGGGATTGGAGGCTTGCAATTGAATGGTAATTTGACTACGTAACGTCCGGCTTCGTCTCGCGAGTGTGTTTCTCTAAAATGATGCTCGCATTTTTGCTCATTAGGTGTTAACATGGGCGACGATGGAAGATCCTCGATCTCCCAAAATCTCCGGAGACTCTGATCCAGACGGTCTAGGACTGAAACATGGTGGAAATGAATTGAGAGATCGGGATTGAGCGGAAGAGGACCCGATAGTATCCAGCCGAGCGTGGTGCTTTGAGCTGTGGGTGCGCACGTCGAGCCCTTCCTTACCCCTTGCAGCAATAGTTGTCCGTATAGATCGGCTCCAATTATCATACTAATTGGTTCTGAGCTCATGGGGTCCTCGTCAGCGAGTTCAAGTCCTAAAAGGTGAGGCCATTTAATTGTTGAGTTCAAGCGTGGTGGTACGTACCTTGTTAGTTTTTGAATTACGATCGCATGCGTCGAGTATGCAGGTTCGGATTTCCTTACCGGAGTGATGATAATTGGTGCTACGTAGCGTGCAATGGACTGAGTCTCTCCGATTCCACTGATCATTGTGAATTGTGTCTCCTTTTCGAGGCGCAGAAGCTGAGCTAGCGATTCAGTGATGAGCGTCGCTGCTGAGCCTTGATCAAGGAACGCTCTTACGACAGTGCATCGCCCGCCTTGTGAATGCACTCTAACTCGAGCTGTAGAGAGGAGAACGCCTGTTTTAATTGGTTTATGTGAGGCTAAATTTAAAACGCTTTTTACTTCGTGATCAGAGGCGGCGAGACTCGTCCTTTGTTTGGCATTGGACGCATCATTGGCAGTACGAAAGTGTAACAATGTATGATGCTTCAATTTGCATTCCTTGCAACAACAGGTGCTTTTGCACTGTGCTGTTGAATGTTGACTTGAAAAGCAGTTGGCGCACCGGTGTTGCTGTCGTATAATTGAGTATCGATCCTGTGGAGTCTTTGCTAAAAAACTTGGACATTGGTAAATGAGGTGGTTTTGTTTGCAAACGGCGCATGTGAATTGGTTTGCCGCGGTAACAAGTGACGTTCACGGTTTGGTTCGGGTTAATTTTTGTTTATCATGTTCAGATGGATTTTCGCACTTGAACGACGGCATCGCTTCTAACGCTAAAATTCGCTTTTTTAAGAACGCATCAAATTCGGTATAGGTCGGGAACTGCGTACTGTCACCTAAAGTAAGCTCCCACGCTTTGCGGGTTGCGAGATCTAATTTTTGAGCACCCAAAAAAACTATCATATCACTCCAGGTGTCGACCGGACGACCTAGGTTTCGTAACATTTGAACTGAAATGTTTATTTGATCGCGTAACGATCGGAGTTCGTTCGGTGTTTCGGACAAAATTGACGGTAACGAAAACAAAGAGTTTAAATGTGTTGATATTAGGCGCCGCTTGTTTTCGTATCTCGAGGTTACTGTATTCCACGCAACGATAAAATTATTGTCAGTTACAGGTAGATGACTCACGGTTTTACTGGCTTCGCCCTTGAGGGAAGAGCACAAAAAATGCAGGCGCTCCACATTTGACAGCGACTGGTTGTTGATTACCATAGAGGTGAACTTGTCTCGGAAACTCTCCCACTCTGCATAATCCCCTTCAAATGTTGGCAAGTTGATCATTGGAAGGTGAGCCGTTGGTCGTGACGTCATGGAATTCGAACATTGTCCGTTGGCTGCTGAACTTTCAGGTGGAGGTGTGACCTTCGAGAGCGTTTCCGCCATAAAGTCTAGGGCTTCCTGGAACGTTTCTTCGCATTTTGCAAACTGGTCCTCGACGAAATACGGTGCATTTGCTTTCGTCTTCTGGTCAGCACAGGCAGAGAGTTTAGCATCTAGGTCTTGATACTGATGAAATGTTTCTTTCAGCAATCCCATGCGGTTCTGGGTAACTGTTGCAGTCATTTTGAACTGACCCAGTTTTTTGAAATTGGCGAGCGATCGTTCTACCGACCGCATTGCTTGTGTTTGTTTGTAATAGAGTTCTTCAAACGAGCTCATGGTTGTTAACGTTTTAAAAATTTTGTTTTAGATGAACGGCTTGCTGACTCATTTTTCCTCGATGCCAATCCGGCTCGAAGGACCAATGTTTCGTGCGGATGGATGATTGTGGTGCTGAAAGCCTTTATCGAAAGGATTGACGATCGAGGAGAGCCGTTTGGAATCGGTTGAAATGAAGAACTCGTATTATGACGATTATTGTATATAATTCACAAATGTAACAAACACAATGACGAAATACAGAACGGAAACCTTAGAACTTAGCACAAAGAACTTGTAAGGAACTTGAATACTTGGTAACGAACGACCGTTGGGTTGGTGTGAGTTTGAATAAGAGCATTGGTGTTAATCGGTTGACTGGTTAAATTATTCTGATTACCGCGAGCGCTTCGTTAGTGTGAGCGGGCGGTGGTTGAATTATTTGGCGCAAGAGCGCGTGGTTGTCACGCGTTAGTATGACGCGGTTTGAACGGAACAGGCTTAAATTTTTTAATTTTTTTGTTAATAAAATCACATTTATTCTAGTTCACTAAATATATATTTATACGTATGTGCTTATTTGCTTATTTATTTATTTAGGATGATGTGAAGATCGTATCATTTTCAACGAATGGGTGGACTTCCCGTGCAATAGATGGATATATTTCATTAATAATTCACTATTGCGATAAGAATTTTGAAGTGCTGAAAAAACATTCGCTCGGCATTCACCATTTCACGGAATCTCATACAAGCCAGAATTTAAATCAATTACTCACAGAGTCCTTGAACGAATGGGGCATTGATTCAAATAAAATTAGTTGTTACTTTATCACGGATAATACTGCGAATATGGTAAAAGCTATAAGTGTTCTCCTCTGCGGCGCATTAACGTGGTTATTTTGTTAATGAAGGTCCTCAGTGGCTCGTCCGGACCTTGTTTGCGACCGGCGATTTGCTGGTCCAATCGCCTCTTTTCCCCGGCTGGTACGAAGAATTTTCGTAGCTGTTCCTGGAGGTTCGGCCACGAGCATACTTTGTTCGCTGCGTTTCTGTACCATTTTTGGGCTTCGCCTCGTAATAATTGAGTGCAGCCCGAACGCATTTGGTGGTCGGTTAGGCCGTACGCATCTTGTAGTTCTTCTAGCTGCTCCAGGAACGCATGCGGGTCTCGTCCGTCAAAATGGCAGTTCCATTTTCTCACGATCTCCATCGTCTTTACCCGGTCTTCGTGGTGTCGGACGGCTGGCTCTGGTGGAGCGGATGGACCTGCTGGAGACGCCGTTGTCTCGGCATTCGTCTCTTCCCCGCGGTTTGGTGTTGATGTGGCCGTGGCCGGACGGTTCCCCAGGTGTGTCCGGAGCCATTCCCGGGCCATCTCCGCGTGGAACTCTTCGTAATCTCGGGTACGGTCGACTTCCTCCTTGTATCCCAGCTTGTCTTGCGGTTTGTCTGGAAACTCGTCCTGGTGTTCTCGGACGTACTCTACCAGACTGGTCCGGAGCTGGACCCACGTTCCCAGCGTTGGCTGGTGTAGTCTACGTAGCTCGTTGACTACCTGGTTCTTCTTCGGGCGATATACCCAAGCGATGCCGGCCATCCTGGTTTCGTAGGTTTGCTTCCTCGGAATCGACAAGGCAACTGCGAACAGTCAATCCAGCGTCGATGGAGTCACGTTCCGTGGGTACCAGGATCCTCGTCCAATAGAGCGGTTTCATAGGTACCTCGGGACATAGAGGTTCTTTTCTCATACACGCTCTGCTTGCAGGGTTCCAACCTCCAACCGGAGGCATAGGTAAAGGACAAGGTCCTGTCGGTACGGTTCCTGCCGGAGGCGGAGGCGGTGGAGGTGCTCCAGGTATTCCAATGAGCGAAGGTGGCGGTGGTGCAGCAGGTATGCTTCCAGGTGGCGGAGGCGGCGGTGGAGGTACTCCGCCGAAAGGTGTCGGAGGTGGTGGCGGAGGAGGCGGAGCGGATGATTCTGCGGATATCGTTCCTATCGACGGTGGCAGAGGTGGAATCGGTGGACCGCTGTGCAGTCCAAAGGAAGACTGCGATCCCTCCTCCTCCGGGGAGACCAGGCGTATTCGGCTGGTCACGCAAAATATGTGGTTGGCCAGGGAAATTACCTCTGTGTAGACGCAGCGGATGACCCTTCCCTTGTTGTCCAAGTTTAGTGTCCATCTGCGCCCATTGCGGGTAAAACGATGTCGTTTTATGCGGGTGTAGATCTGGACTATTGTTCCATCCGCCAAGGTGTACGGGATGGTGTCCGCCTGGTCCGTTCTGTCCGCGTGGTCCACCGTGCAGGCGGCGGCCAGTGTCCTGGTCGGCTGTGGCTGCGGTGATGATGATTTGCAGTGACTGGCCCAGGCCGCGTCTGCCACTGCCTCCGCCGATATTGGGGCCGGTTTGCGTGTCGCTGGTGCCGGGTTCCCCAGATCTGGTGCTGTGGTCAAAGCTGCTGCTTCCGCCAATCTTTTGGCCGGTGATTTCGGCGGACAGTTGCCGGGTGCCAACGGTGCTGGCGTCCGCTTTGCCGGTGTCAGCTCCGCACTGTGTGGCCGCCTTGCCGGCGTCTGGACGCGGCTTGGCCGGGTCGCTTTGCGGGCCGGCGCCTCGGTGACCTG